GGGTGTTCCACTTTTCTGAGGGGAAAGGTAGAGGGGGAAGGGGAAGGAAGGGAAATGGGGACTTCGAAGAGAAGAGGGAGGGAACATCCTTGTGATGTAAAGTAAAGAAACTTAAATAAAATAAAAATTAAAAAGGAAAAAAGCAAAAAGAGAGCAAGCACTGGTCACTTTTCACCTCCTCCCCACTAAGGGCCTGGGAAAACAGCTTCAAACCCAGGTTGACTGTGGGGATTAAATTATTTCTTGCTTAGAACCTACTTATAAGGGTAGAATGGAGAGATGGCTCAGTGGATAAGAGCATTTGCTATATTGAAGAGCTTATATATATATATATATATATATATATATATATATATATGCTATATACTGAAGAGCTCAGTTCAAATCTCCAGCACCTACCTAAGAAAGCCAGGCTTGGCTGCACATACTTCATACCCCAAGTTTGAGAGGCAGAGACAGATCCTGGGGGCTCACTGACTAGGTAGCCTAGCTAAAAATGTGAGCTTTGGGTTCAGAGGGAGACCCTGCTCCAAGAAAATACGGCAGAGCGTGTATGTCCTCCTCTGGTTTCCACATGTAAGCCACACTCACATGCATGGCCCTCCCACCTGTGTATCATACACACACACACAGAAATCACTTACACAGTGAATGGCAGCTACTACCATGATATACTGCTCTCTTCCATACTTGATCTGAAATGAGACTGCACCAGCTTTCAACAAATGTCTGCCCTCACCAACTCACCTGTCCTTGCATCCGGTAATTTTCTGTTGCTGAAATGACCTCTGAGTAAAGACACAGGCTGAAGATTTCTTGTCCAAAATTCCTGGGGTCAGAAGAACCGGTTTTCTCCTAAACTCTACAGGCAGTGTTTGAGAAGAGGACTTAGGACTGACTCAGGACAGTGGCGTCTCCAGCTGTGTGGGGCTCGAAGGACTAATCACATGCTCCATATGCTCACCATCCCGTTCTGATGGGCGCACATCACAGAAAGGAAGCCTTTCAAAGCAGGCACAGCAGACCCGCGTCAAACCAAACATCGGCCAGACCCCACAAAGGTCCTAAGTGAAAACCATTTCCTTCCAACGCCCTTTCTGACTTGGAAAGCACAGGGGCCTTTCCGAGAGCCTAATTGCACAAAGAGTAAAAGTCACACACTGAACTAACTCTCCAGGATGACTGAGAAAAGCCTCAAACAAAACAGAGCCAAAGCCACATGGACCCAACAGTTATCCCCTACATTTTAAAGGTCTCTTGGGGAAAAGAACCGGTCTGTCTGGTCTGGTCTGGCTTCAAGAGTCACCTCAACAGTCAAGTGTCTTTCCACAGCCAGGGACAGTCTGGGTTTGCAAGAGCAGGGGTTGAGCTCCTGGCGAAAGTTATGTCCCTTTTCACAGGCACAGGAGAAAGGAAATGAGCCAAGCCCTAACAAATACCGTTAGAGACATTCCAGCCAACACTTGATAAGGGCTGGAAGGCTGCCATAAGAGCATAGAAAGCTCCAGCTCAAGGCTGGAGGAAGAAAAACTGGATTCAGATCACAACTGACCAGGAGAAGCAATGGTGTCGGGGAAGCTTCACCTCACATTTCCAACAGGAAGTGCTCTAACCTGGAAGCTTTAAGTGCTGTGGTTCCATTGTGACTCCTCTGAGAATGTACAATGATTACTATAAATACACAGAAACACGTGTAACTGAAACAGACATGTTTGTAACAAAGCATCCCAAGGATGGGTTGTAGCTCAGTTAGCCGAATACTTGCCTCCATAGGACTTGGGTTTAATCCCAGCACTGCAGAAACAGAGCGCGTGCTCAGTTAGTACTCAGTACTCAGGCAGTACTCAGTTGTGACTCCAGCACTTGGGAGGTAGAGGCAGGAGCATCAGAAGTTCAAGGTCATTGGAGTGGTTTGAATGAGAATGGCCCCCACAGGCTCACAGGTTTGAATGCTTAGTCATCAGCTCACAGACTTGAATGCTTAGTCATCAGGGAGTGGCACTGCTTAGAAGGATTAGTAGTGACCTTGTCAGGGTAGGTGTGTCTTGCGGTTGGCTTTGAGATTCCAAGAGCCCAGCCAGACCCACGTCTCCTGGGCTGGAGATATAATTGAGAGGAAAAGCATTCGACTAGCTGGGGCAAGGCCCCAGATTCAATCCCTGGGGTCCTCCTTCCTCCTAGAGCCAAGGCCCCAGATTCAATCCCTGGGGTCCTCCTCCCTCCTAGAGCCAAGGCCCCTTACTCCCACTTTTACACTTCTAGTGTATTCAGCACCTCAATACCCATTATTCAATTCATTTTTGTTGTTGTTGTTGATTTGTGAGACAGGGTTTCCCTGTGTAACCTTGGCTGTCCTGTACTCTATTTGTAGAGCAGGCTGGCCTGGAACTCACAGAGATCTGCCTGCCTCTGCCTCCCTGAGCACTGGGATTAAAATGTACCACCACACCCGGCTTCAGTTGATTTCACATTCATCTCATCTCACTAGCTTATAGATGTGGATCTTAGCATATACCAAGCATACGGTAAGAGATGGTATAGAGTGCAGTAGGCTGTCAATAAATGGTCAATGTCATTACATAGCACTCTAAAACTGGCACACCCGAATAGCTCAAAAGGTACCTGTTGAGAGAAATGTACCAGCATGTTCTTGACATTCACCAAGACCAGATAAATGCCAGCACATTCTAGATTGCTAGAACTCAAGGTCTTCATAGATAGCCCAAGAAAGAGGAATGGAATGTTTTTTCCTTCATTCCTATGGTGGTTTCAATAAAAACAACCTCCATAGGTTCATACATTTAAATGCTTAGGCAGTGGCACTATTTAAAAAGATTAGGAGGTGTGGCCTAGATAGATGATCCTAGATAGATGATAGAGAGATAGATGGTAGATAAACAGATAGATAGATAGATAGATAGATAGATAGATAGATAGATAGACAGACAGATATGGGAATAAAGGAAAGAAATTTCAGTTTGTGGTCCTAAGTCAATGGTAGTTCTAGAAAACACAGGAGCAAAGGAAGGAAATACGTAGACAATAAGATTGGTACCAAGAGAACTGGGAGAAGCCTGGTCCCATAAGTGCCTGCCTCCCTGACAAAGACTACACGCTAGGGAAAAGCCAGAGAAAGAACAAAAAACTTCACCTTATTCCAGAGACTAAAACCCAGGGTCAGAAAGCAGCAGAGATATGGGGCTTCCTTCTGAAAGACCCCAGGTGGGGCCACAGGGAAGGATCTGCCCACTGAAGGAAGAACTACCTGCAGACCATCTGCTCATGAAGTGAAACCCAGTCACGCCTCCAAAAATCAAGGTGCAGATATCCCTACCCCACACTAACAGAGTGCAGTCCCTAATGCAATACCTTCCTGTTAGAAAAAACCCTACCCAGGGGCTTCTTCAGTGTGTCAGTGGGCTCCACGAGGTTCTAGAGAAGGTTCTAGAGAAGCTAAGACAATGCCTCTGGTACTGAAGGAGGGGACTAAGTACAACGGCCCCAGTAACACCCAAAACTATCAGCAGTCCAGCACGCAGATTAAGTATGAGCTACATCCATCCCTTATAGACACCAGGACTCCAAGGGTTTCACTGTATGCAACAGTTGATATGATGGCACATGCCTGCAGTCCAGCACTGGACGGGAGGGAGAAGGATTGGGAGTTCAAGATCGTCCTCCACTAGACACTGGATGTGAAACCAGCTTGGGCTGCAAGACAAAAACAACAAAAGTGCATACAACAGGAAAAAATGCAAAGGTTAACTCTGGAAGACAGATTATGTGTTGGGGATAGACATAGGAAGAAATTCCACTTCTTGAGTTATACAGAGAATAGCTTCACTTTACAAAGAGTCCATGTGGAAAGGGCTGCTGCAGAGAGGCCTGTGTGCCTTTTGCCTTCTTAAGGGAGAAAAAGACAGAACAGACATGGACGCTGCTGCACAGGCAGGCCTCTGGCCACTGCTATCTCCTACCACGGCCCCTGAGGAGCAGCTCGGCCAGAAGCATCGTCCTCTCAGCCTGCCAGCGAACTGTCTTCCACGTGCAACACAATTCCCATTGCATTTCTACTAACTGACAGAGCATCATGTAGGAACAGGGAGTGCTTCCTACTTCCCCAGATATAGAAGCGAGCTGTCACTCACTGGAAGCCAGGAGGGTGATATGTAACTTTCCCACTGTTTTCATTAGCTGCACTGAGAAAACAACACTGAAGAAAAGTCAGAAGAAATATGTGTGTTATGTGAGCATCTGTAAGAACACAGGGCATGGCAGAGCAGGGGAGGCAGGGCCAGGGATGAGTCAGGCTGGCCCAGATGATCCTGCTGAAGATATTTTAGCACCGGTGTACATGAGGCCTTCCTCTGGCTTATTAAAATAGTGCTGGGCAGCAAGAGAGGCTCTCACATTCTCACACCCATGAGATGGCGTGGGAGGTTTGAGCAAGAGTTGAGACACAGCTGCTGTGGCCAAAGCCAGATGTGACAGAAAAGAGGGAGTCACTTCATGATGCCCCAAACCCTAACTGTCAAGGGAGAATGTGCTTAAGAGGTCTGTAAAACAGAGTGGATGGTCGCGTTAAATACCACTTCCAGACGTATACTGCAACCCTCTGCTGCTTGGGTCCCTGGAAAACGGTTGTGGTTTGAAGCACCCCGTCAGAAATCTCCCTGCTCAGCAAAGTGAAACAATGTAAGAGGCTGGCGCAGCCTCCCAGCCAGCCCCGTGCCCGGACACCTGACTCGGCAGATGCAGAAGCTGGCTTAGGAAAGGTCCATCTGTGGGAAATTATCTCCCCCCTTCCATAGATGTTTTCCTTCCCAGTAATGCTGGTTACAGTTTTCTGATTCTTCACTAGTGCAGTAGAAAAAATGATGTGAAAGCACACAGCGTCACATGGCAGTGTCCTGCCTCTTAGCTAAACATGGGGAAGAACCCAGTCTCTGTCTGTCTGTCTCTGTCTCTCTCTCTTATACACACACACACACACAACTTACCAAATGCCTTCTTAGGTTCTATTAACTGCAAAGTAAAGAGTTCCTCTTTTTTCAGTTCCTTTAACTTCTTAGCGACTTCATAGTGACGCCACCCAACAATATTTTCTCCGTTTATAGATTCAATATGGTCTCCCACGCAGATTGTTTTTACTGAGTCGATGGTGCTGCCGTCTTTAATTCTCTGAAAGAAAGAAAATCAATGATGCTATCAATCGGAACTGCGGCATTAGCTCTCATGCTCCTGAGATACATCATGCTGACATGATTTACAATACAGTTTAAAGACAGAAGGCAAGGTGGGAAAGGACAAACACCCTACCCCACCCTTCTGCATCTTCCTTCCACTCAGAATTTAGCTAGTTCGCAGCCACCATCTCCTCTGGGAATCTTTTCTCCACATCCTCTAACCCAGTCCCCTAAGAAGGGCTGAGACAGCACGCTTCCCTCTGCAGTACCTATGGCTTTACACAAGCACTTCAACGTGAACACTTTCACACCTGCTGTTTCACATCCTTCTAAATCCTATGAGGTTCTACATCTTAGCAGAAGAAGATGGAGCCTTGGGAGAAGCAGGTGACCCAGGTTCCACACTCCTCAGCTCAACGGAGCTCTGTCACTAAACTGAAATGTCCCTGGGATGTCCATGGATGGGCACAGCTTCATTAACCAGTGTATGCCCTGTCCCTAGCACAGTTCCTGCAGTGATGAATGGTGGTTTAGAGATTCATTTTTCTTCATGCGTATGTGCGTGCCTGTGTGTGTGTGTGTGTGTGTGTGTGTGTGTGTGTGTGTGTGTGTGTGAATGCATGCAGATGCCCACAGAGGCCAGACAAGGGTATCAGATCTCCCGTATGTGAAGCTACAGGATGCTGTGGTACTGGGAACCAAACACGTCCTCTAGAAGCAAGTGCTTTTCACCACTGAGATGCTGCTTCTGCTCCGTAATAAGTGGGTTTTCTTGTTTGAATAATTTCAACAAGAGACCCATAGAGCTTTGTGTTTAAACTGTTACAAATGCAAAGGCTTACAGAGTGCTGTGATCATAGCCATGAAGACAATATTCACCGAGTGACTAGCCCTGCTGTCACGGCCAGTGACACTGAGCTTTGACATCCACCAGCGAGGGCGAGTTTGCACTGTGGATTTCCACTGATGCATTTTAAGTGCAAGGAGCAAAGGGCCCACGGAGAAACTGCAAGCTATTTGATGAGCGTCTTCTCTGTTTTGTTACATTTTATTGCATGTATGTATTTACGTGTGTGTGTGTGTGTGTGTGTGTGTGTGTGTGTCTGTGTGTCTGTGTGCATGCATGTACTTTAGGGCCGAGGCAAGCGTACAGAAATTAGAGGACAGCTTCCAAGAGTCGTTCTCTTCTGTCCCTGTGTCACCGGGACTGAACTCAGATCCTCAGGCTTGGCCACTAACGCCTTCACCTGCTGAGTCATCTCACCAGCCGCATTTCGGTTGTGTTTTGGTTTTTAGAGATGTGATCTCTCTTGAGGTAGCCCAGGCTGGTCTGGAACTTGTGATCCTCCGGCCTCTGGCTCCTAGGTAATTTCAAGTCTATGTCATCACACCCAGTTGATTAACTCTTACTTCTCTACAATGTGCCTGTCATGCAGAGTTTCACTAAGAGGTCTAAAATCCATTAGACAGCACCGAGAATTCCGAAGGGATGTCAATAGCACACTACTTAAAAATCTATAGTTCCTAAAGTGCTGCAGAAAAATAAACAAGATTATACAAAAGATTGGCTAAGTGAAAAAAAAAAAAAAGCTATTAAATACAATGTTAGATAATCATTCTTAAGCCAGTAAGGGATTTGAAAATATGCATTTGACTTTGACATTTTTAAAAATTCTAATTTACCTGGAGCTTATTTTTTTCCTTTATCAATTATATCAAACAAATGTCAGTGCCCTTGTACATAACTTTAGGTTTTATAACACTTGTTATAATTTTATTTAAAATAATAAAATATACAAACTTAATTTGGTAAAAGACTCAGAAGTAATGAGTTACTCTTACCTGTGAATGAAGGGTCAGAGTAGCGATGAGGCGCTGTCACCCAAGCTGTAAGATGCTAGGAAGTCACACAGAGCGCCCAGACCAAAGAGACCGGTACCAGAAGCCAGACAGAGGCAGCAGGGAGAGAACCCAGGCGGCAGCAGAAGAGGGAAAGCACCTCTGAGCCACAGACACGGAGCAGAAACAGAGAGGAAAAGATGAAGGCAGAACCCAGGGGAGAGTGCCAGAAGACGCACCTTGTGAGAGAGCACAGAGGTGACACTGGTTATTTTACTGTGATCTGAGCCCCAGACTCCAAGACAACAGAATGAAAACTGAGGTGGTGAGTGTCTTAGTTAGAGAGAGACTGAGAGAGAGAGGCAGGCAGACAGGCAGGCCAGAAGCAATGAGAAAGAAAGGGTTTATTTTGCTTACATTTCCTGGGTCACAGTCCACTGAGGGAAGCCAGGGGAGAAACGTAAGACAAGAACCAGGAATCAGAAAGTGATACAGAGGCCACAGATCACTAGATCACTCTCCTGGCTTGCTCAGCCTGCTTTTTTATACAACCCAGGACCACCTGGTCAGGGGTGGCAGTGTGGACTATGAGCTAGACACTCCCTCATCAATCCGTAAACAAAAATATACCCCCAAAGAGATCCCTATAGGAGTGGTTCTCAACCTATGGGTCCTGCCCCTTGAATGTTTGAACCACTTTCTCACAGGGTCACCTAAGACCACCAGAAAACACAGATATTTACATCACAGTACATAACAGTAACAAACTTACAGTTATAGCAAACTTACAGAAATAGCAACAAAAATAATCTACGGTTGGGGAGGTTACCACAGCATGAAGAACTGTATTAAAGGGTCACAGTGTTGGGAAGATTGAGAACCGCTGGTCTCTGGGCAATCTGATGGAGGCATTTTCTCATTTGAGGTTCCTCTTCCCAGATAACTCTAGCTTGTGTCAGACTAACAGAAACAAATCAAAACCAAAAACCAAGCAGAACAGTGGAGCTTGGGGAGCTAGCTCAGTCAGTGGAGTGCTGGCGTGGGAGGGCAGCATGTGTGTCCAAGCCCAGCTCTGGAGAGGCTGAGGCAAGAGGATACTCTGGAGATATACCACCTGATGTTGACCTTTGGCCTCCTCATACACCTGTGCACATGTGAACATTTTTATAATTTAATGAAATGTCAATGGATATGAACACCTGGCCTCTTCAGGCACCAGGCATTCAATGACTCATGCACACGAAATAGCCACACACACAAAATACTTTTTTTTTTAAATCAAGGAAAACAATAGGTTAGGGAGAACCCCACAAAAAGTTAAGGAATTAATTCCAGAGATACAGAACAACTAAGAAAAAGCAGAAGGCTGCACTGGACCTCCAGAAGGAAGGTGGAGTGGGGGAAAGTAGCCAATAAAACCAAAGTAGACTAGAGATGAGTTTTTATGATTTTGCTTATTTTTCTTATTTGTTGTTGTTTTGTGATGAGACAAGGGCACATCTCTCTCACAGCCAATAATGACCTTGAACTTCCCATCACTCTGCCTTTACGTTGGGTGTTGGGATTATAGGCATGTGCACAATGACCAGTTTATGCTGTGCTGAGACTAGAACTCACAGCTTTGTGCAAGCAAGGTAAGTATTCTACCCATTGAACTACATCCTAGCCTTGGGGGTGAGTTTGTTGAGTCAAATCGATGTTCAACTTGTCTCAATTTTATAATTGTACTATGGTTATATGTAATATAAAGAATAGTTTTGTTCTTGGTAATCACACTCTGAAGTGGTTAGAAGGAAAAAGGATGAATATAGATAGAGTTGCAGATATAGATATAAATGTATATGAAAAGCACAGCAAATTAGAAAATGATAAAAGTTATACATTTAGATAAATGATATATGAAAGCTATTTCATTATCATTGTAATATTTTCAATTATGAAGCTATCCAATCTATAAAATTTTTATCATCTATATTTTACAGTACACTATATGCTGGCTTCCTCTTTTCTCACCATGCCCTCTGTCCCCAAAGGACTAGTGACTAGTACTCTGAGACTGGCACATGTTGGACAAGACATTAAAAAAGAAAAAGCAGCTTGGACCGTGAGAGGCTGACAGCTAGAGCATGTTTGTGAAACTCCCAGCCCCCCTCTGCAGACAGCAGGCCGGCTCTGCTGCCTGTGCCTGGTGTCCTGAACTTCCCCTGGGACTATCCCACATGACTTCCCCAACTCAAGGGTTTTCCATTTGGTCACCCGCTCACCCTCCAGTGCATTCCTGTCGTCTGCAGAACTAAAAATAACCATCCTATCAGGCGGGCAGCTAGGGTAGCATCAACAGCTAAGATAACTCCCCTTCGACTGTCTCCTTACCGATGACAGTGCAACAGCAAAGAAAGGCATAAACTGTGCTGTGTTGCACAAAGCCTATCACTATTCTTAACTCAGCGCGTAGACATGCTGGCTCTATGGTCAGGCTCCTTGAGTTAAAATCCTGAGCCTGTTCAAATCCTGCTCTGCTGTAATTTTGGCCAAGCTATTGAACCTCATCCTATCTTTGCACGGTAAAGCAGGGGTTGGTAACATTGCCCACTGTGGACAGATTGCAAAGACACACAGACGAAGGCAGAGCTATCAGAGTACATAATGCACAGTTCTATAAACATCAAGAAGCAAGTGGCAGCAGGCATCCCTTTTCAGGGCAGATGTCAACTGGAAGGGGGCACAAGGCCGCCTTCAGAGTAGCAGAAATGTGATTCCTATGGAGCGCACACCACTATACCAGCGCCAATAAGCAAATGTTCCTTTAGCTGTGCATGTTCTAAAATGTGCTATACTGCAACGTAAAAGCAAAGCTAAAAAGACAGCACGCCAATAAAATAAGATTGCTGTGAGAATGGGAGACAGGACATTTGGCAAGGCTCTTGCTGTGTCACCCTGAGGACCCAAGCTTAGAGCTCTAGCAGCCATGCGCATCTCTAATTCCAACAATGGGGAGGCAGAGACAGGTAGTCCCTAAAGCTCACCTGACAGCAGCCGAACCTAATCAGTGAGCTCTCGGTTCAGAGAAAGACCTTGTCTCAGAAAATGAGGTAAGTGACTGAAGACACCCAGCGCCAACCTCTGGCCTCCGTACACATGAGCACACACACACCCAGCCACATTCATTGGCGCACACCCAAACAAACACAAACATTTACCATGCCACAACCACCACACACATAATATTAAATTAAAATAAACCAAAGTAGTATTATTGTAAAGTCTGAACAAAATGTATGCAGGTGACTAGTCGGATAAGCACTCTAGTAGGCTGGGTGAGTAAGGCAGTCAACCCTGAGGCAGGAAGATCACTTAAGCCCACGCATTCAGGCACAGCCTGGGCTATGGAGCAAGATGCTGCCTCAAGAGAACACCCAACAGTGTGTCTGTACTCAACATATACAAGTGTTTCCCTGGTCTCTAGGCAACATGATACAATAACTATTTACACAGATGTCATAAATTATCTAGAGATGATTTAAGCTATACAGGAGGATGTACCTTGGTGCCATGCTATTTGTATTATACACTTGAACAGGCACAGATTTTAGCATGCACAGGAGTTCCTAAACCAACCCATATGTACACACACACACATACACACACACACGGAAGGAAGATGGCTGTACTCATTACTGCATAACTTTTATCTGGATATTCTCATTTTCACACTATTTTAGACTTCTTATCTTTACAACGCTGCATTACTCTTTTTACATTCAAACGAAAGAATCACATTATTGAGATAACTCTGAAGAACGTTTTTAAAGAAATCTGTGTAGTTAGAGGTGACATTAAATCACTAGAAATCACCCAGGAAGTCCCGAGAGCTGCACAAGCAGGCCAACGCCCACCAGGAAAGAGAAGGCACGAGGGCAGGACCTTCCTGTCAAGACACTCTAAGCTGCAGAGCACTTATAAAGCAAATGGAAGAATTTCAAAAACTTTTTTAAGAAATGTCATCTCCAAACATTTTTTTTTTTTTTTAATAAAAGTGAAATGCAAATTTGTGACCCCAACTGAGCTAGCTAGCTCTTCCTGAAGAGAATTTCTAACTCTCTTTGACCTGGTAGATTTTCTTAATTGGGTCACCATGTGAATTTTTTTTTTTTTTTTTTCCAAAATCCTACCTTGATAAAAGCATAGCCAACGCCGTTATCTGTGATGGTGAGTCCAAGCAAATCCTCTGACTTATAGACATTCACTTCCTTTTTGATCCCTTTCACGTGGGCAAATATGAAATCTTCAAGGCCCAGCTGCCCTCCTAGGAGGTTTCCCATGTCAATTCTTGGTGTGTTTAAAGTACAAAATAGGATCTGCAAAAAGAAAAAAGCCTTTTAGGTCAGCCTTCTTCAACCAACCCTGGCCGTTAATGAACTTCTTCAATAAACATTTGTTGAATGAAATGGTCCTCAGTTTGTGATGTAAGAGTCACCGTCATAGGTGAATCAGTAAGTGGGTGGCGGATAGAAGGTGAGGCCACATTGTCATATGTTACCATTAGACAAGATGCATGGAATATTTCTAGAGACAAGACCTTATCCCAAGTCATTAACTTCCACTCTCTCACAATGCTGTATAAAGGACGTTGTTATCCTCATATCACAAACAGGAAATTGAGATTTAGCAAGACAGTTTAATTTGCTTAAAGTCACAAAATCATCACTTGTGAGAGCCAAGGATCTGAGTTCAATTATCATCAGCTTCAAAGCAGTTTAAACTACATGACCTGTTGCTCATGCCTCCGAAATATAAGATTCTATTCCCAAAGGTCCACATGATCATATACACGGTAGTGACACACACACACACACACACACATACTATGATGAACATGCATATAAAAGCCAGTAAATATTTCTTTTTAAGTAAGGAAAATTTTATTTCTTTTGTATCATAGAACTTCAAAACAGCAACTTAAGTGAAGCCGGGGGAGTCTCTTGCCTAGGGTGAAACAAGCTGTGGGTTTGTTGCCGGGGGTGGGGGGGTGTAGGATGTACTTTTTTTCTATCAAAGGTGGCTAGTCCACCAGGGACCAATAGCCCATAAATCTTCCCTAGCTGCTAAAACTTTCGCTTCTACAAAAGCCACCGCCCCTGTAGTTCTGGAACTGGAGCCTGGAGCAGCCTGCTTTGTTAGAATAGAAGCCAAGTAACCTCCACCCCTTGGGCTAGTTCATCCAGTTGGGTCATGTACAGGCTTCTTGCAGGAAGAAATTGCCATTCGTCTCCTGCTCCTAGTAAAACACCAGGGAAATTGTTTCTAACAGGTTCAGTGCCCAGCACGGGAGTGGGGGACAGTTTAAACAGTGGGTAAAATGTTTCAGGAATAAATCGTATGTCAACAACTAACAAATACAACCATTTAATTTTTTAAAAGAGATGGAGGAACCTAGCATTGCTGGAGTTTGGGATACATCAGAGTTCTTACAAAATTCAGGAAGGGACTATTCATAAGGAGAACTTTACAAACCAGCAACTTCTAAGGGTGGGTCCTGACGGCTGTTCCCATAGGACAGGCGCTTTCTGAATAACATCTACAGCTCTGTGTGGGAGCTCCTTAGACTGCAGGATCTGAGGAGAAGAATTTAGGCTCTGCTTATTTATAAAGGTCATAGCTGGATAAATTCCACTTCCCCCATAAACCGCATAGAGAGATATTCCTGATTATCAACTTGATTACGTCTGGAACTAACTAAAACTCCAAGCTGTCAGGCACATCTGTGAGGAGTTTTTAGTTGACTGCACCATGAGCTGAGAAGACACACCCTAAATCTACGGCACTTGAAGTCAGAATCTGGGCCACACCCTCCAGTGGCAGCCTTGATAGGACAAGGAGGAAAGCAGCTTTTGCTCTTTGCCTACTTGCCCTTGCTCTCACTTCAATGGCATTAGAGCCGACTTCTTTTTCCAACATACACTGAAGACCAGCTAAGATACCCAGCCTCGTGGACTGAACAACTAGTGTGTTCTTAGACTTGCTGTGGGAGACAGCCATTGTGGGACTACCCGGACCACAGCCTGTAAGCCTCTCTAATAAATCCCCTTCATTCATGTGTGTGTGTGTACATATGCATACATGCATTTGTATATAATATGTAAACATATATACATACGTGTATATACAAACATTTATATATAAATTCCATCAGTTCTGTTCCTCTAGACTAATACTATTCAATATTTTTAAACTGAAGGATAGTTCATGGACAGCATTAATTATACGTTAATTTCCACTTTCCCAGTGTTTTTAAATTTCTGCCACATACTTGTTACTACTGATCACTGAAATTTGTCTAGCTGGGACAGCCAAAGCCTGAATGTAGAACCCACACTGTACGTTAATGGTATGCTTTCTGTGCTGGCACCATTACATATTGTGGATACGCAGAATAAATATTTGTCCCTAGTGCTTCAGGGGTGTTCTGGCCAATAGACAGCTGAACAAGTCCCCCAAACTCACCTAAATTATTCTATTTTTACAGCTCCAGGAAGTTCATCTCCAGCTTTCTTTTGTTTGATGTTTTCCTTAAACAGGAACTATGCTGGGCAAAGATTCTAGTGTTTCAACAATATGTAAAATAAGTTATGGTTTGTGCACCCAGAAAAACATTATTTGTGGGTGTTTTTTTTTTAATTATTGAAAATAGAGTCTTCTCTGAGAAAATACATCCTGACCATGGTTTCCCCTCCCTCTACTCCTCCCAGCTCCCTGCAACCTCCCCTCTCCCCCAGATCCATTCTTCCTCTGTTTTCCTTCAGAAAAGAACAGGCCTCCAAGAGACAACAACCAAACACAACAAAACAAGATACAGTAAAACTAGGCACAAACCCTCTTATCAAGGCTGACAAAGCAACCCAACAGAAGGAAAACAGTCCCAAGAGCAAGAATTGGGTACCAATTCTAGTACCCAAGAATTATGGGTACCAGCTACTTTATGTTTGGAGTTACAACAGTTCCATTTAATGGTGTCATTCTTGTTACACAACACTAATTTGAAAGTCCAAATTCATAATGTTCTACAATCCAAAACTTCTGTACCTCAATATATTATGGGATATTCTATACCATAAAATTTTGTTTTCTGCCCCAAATTACTTTTAAAAATATTATGCACCAGTATCTTCAGTTTATGTTCAATTTATGAGATTTAAACAAGTTATAAAAACTTTGGATTTAATGTACAAATATTCCAAAATCAAAAATGAAACTGGAATCCAAAATACATCTAATTCTAAGCTTTTCTGATAAGGGATGTGCAACCTGCAGGGGTGTTTGTTTGTCTGCTTGTATTAGATCAGGACCCCAAGCACGAGGAGAACAGGTTTCAGGGCAGTTAGGTGGCTGGTAGGGGAGGGTAAAGGTGCTTGCCACGAAAGGCCAGATGCAGCTGCCTGCCTCTATAATCCCACTACTCCTATGTAGAGACGAGAGGCAAACAGGGAACCAGCCAAAAGTTCCCATGCACAGCACCCAGGCAGAGGCCCTGCCTCAAAGCAAGAGGAAGGAAAAGAATCAGCTGCTGAGCACGTCCTCCCACTTCCATGGCTGTGTGTCATTCACAGGCCGCCTCCCCAAACGATCTTTAAGAACACACTAGCACCCATCTATATCTCCACCCTTGCCTTCCCATCTATTTTTCCCACCTTAGGAAATAGCGGCCTAGAGAGGAAAAGGACTTGTCCAGGGCTTCAGCCATGACTAACTGAGTCTGCTCTCTTTGCCCTCCCAATCTTCTCTGAGATCTAACTTCTGCACAGGGCCATCTGAGTCCCTGTCACTTCCTAATGATCAGCACAACTAATCCTTCTGAGTTAGATGGGAAGGCAACTGTGCCCTCAGCACACAAAACATCAGTTCACACCAAAGAGTGTTTCTTTGTCGAAGTCATAACAAGAAATCAGACTTCAGAGGGTTTTTTTTCCCCTAATCCATAATACTTTATCTATGGTGTTACTATAAATTCAGTCTTCAGTGAGAAGCTTCTAAAATAGGAGACTCCGCATTTCATGCTGTGTGGAACTAAGCAGTTTGTGCAGCAGACTATTCATTGTCTAAAGGAGTGAGACAGCTTCCAAAGGAATTTCTTCTAAATTGTTGTAAAAGTCACACACTCGTGTGTGTGTGTGTGTGTGTGTGTGTGTGTGTGTGTGTGTTTTCTTTTCTTTTCTTTTTCGACATAGGATTTTTCTGTATAGTCTTGGTTGTCCTGGACTCGAATACACCGAGACCTGCCTGCCCCTGCCTTCTGAGTACACCCAGCTCACAGTAGGCATTTTAACAAATGCCCAAACACCAGCAAAGCATGATTACTCAATTTGAGTTATAATAATTGAGAGGATTTTTTAATGTTATTTCTGGTAATTTTAAACTATTTACATTCGTTTATTTGTATTATAGACATAGTCATTCCAAAATCTGATGCCTAGTGTTTTCTCAATGTTACACACATACCAAGTCTCTAGTATTGTCTTAAACAATGTCTCATTCTATATAAAGCACCTTAATACCTGTGGTCACTAGAAACAGTTTCACAGCTTGGAAAAGATATAAGATTGGCAACAGGACAGACATTTAGAAACATGATACTGTGTGCTTTATTTAGACCTTCCTGAGGATATTGTAGAAAGCCCTGCCTCGAACATGGTAGAACTTTCTATAAATGATTCACTGCTAAATTAGCCTCCGTAGGTCAGCAGTGGCAAGCCTTAAATAAAAAGTGAATCACACAGTGCAATCCTTCTCCAGCACAACCATGTTCGCTCGGTGTTTCTAATGGCTAAAATAGTATGACAAAAGAATTCTATCAAAAAAAAAAAGAAAGTCAAATCCATATTTTTAAACCACCAAATGATTTCCCAGAATAACTAAAGGACCACATTTTTTTGCTATGAAGTCTAATCGAGGGAGCTATGTTTCTAAGAAAATCAAAACCACAAGGCAGTTCTTGAGACACAAGGAACGGCTGAAAGGGCACGGGGTTTGATCTTGCCTGTGTGGACACGACCCAGACACTAACCCAACAAGTGAGACACCTCCCTCTCCCACAACATCCCTGCCATGGAGGAGACGACTGAGCTTGCCCATCTGAGCAAGGCAAGTGCTTGCCAATTTTAAGACGTCATAAATCGAGCCATGCTTCAGTCTCCAGCTTTCTGAACTAATTGTCGTCCGTAAAGTTTCTTCCTCCTTGATGCAAAAGGTGGGGGAAAACACTGCCAGATAAGGAAATGGATGACTAGTCTCCATCCTGACATGTTGGGATGGCTTATGAACATAGCAAGTACGTGATGAGATCTGTAAACTATGATCAACG